TTTTTTTCTCAAAATTTATTTTCCCCGAAATCCAACTTCCTATTTGCCTTTGGTTTCTTTTTGAAGCGGCCCTGTGAGGGCAGAAGTATCTCCCTGATAGTTGCGGGAATCAATTTTCCTTTGTTGATATACACATTTATGGATAAAAATGATGTTGCCATCATATCTAAGAACCGAAGGATGGTGCTGACTGGGGGATGCTGGGGCCGGAAGACCTAGTGCTGGAACTGCTGTGGCAGGGATGTGTGTGGGGTCATACGTGTGTCGACGTTCAAGATACAGCTGCTGCTCTGTATTGGAATGTGGGGGCGGCTCCGAGGAAGAGGCTGAGGAGGAGAGCGGCTTCCATTAATGACAGGAGGCTGCTGATGGTGGTCTTGACACTTAGTCATGGTATGTTGTACTGAGGGGGCGAGACGGCGGACCTCTGCTAGCTCCTGGTCCCGCTGCTGAAGTTGACGACGAAGCTCTTGAATCTCTTGATCTTGGGCACATTCCATGGGTGTAGGTGCAACACCTGATCCCTGTAGTCGTTGGCGGGCCTCAGTCAGCTCCCTGTTCCGATCCTCTAGCTGGCGGCGGAGCTCCTGAATTTCCTGTTCTCGGGTATGTACCACAGGCACGTTCATCCGCAGTAGTTGAAGGCGGGTCTCCTCCAGCTCCCTGGTCCGTTCCTCCAGCTGGCGACGGAGTTGCCGAATTGGATCCTCCTGGTCTAGTTTCTCTCTCCTGTGGCTGATGGAGGTTACTGTCAGCTGGCTGTTCTTGATCTAGAGTGCCTTCCTGCATGCGATGTTCAAGGGCCTCTTCATGGCGCTGTAGTCGGGCATCATTCTGCTCCTTGTACTCCCGTACTTCTGCGACTAGAGAGTTGATCTTCTCCATGATTTGGTCAAACATGGTTACTTCTGTGACCATCATCTGGACAGCCTCGCGTACGACCGAGTTAGAACCACCTGGTATGCGGCGTGGTGTTGGGGAGACTTCACAGGATGTCGGCTGGCTGCTCATCTGGATGTTTCGACGCTGCTGGAGTCTCTGGTATCGCTCCTGCCTCTCCCTGCTGTTCGGCATGCCAGGAACGCAGCAACCAAATACTTATAGCTCTCCACGTACAAATACAAAATAATGCTGGCGGCAAACAGAACCAACCCACAACTGACAATCCACAGGATCACAAAGAAACCAGAGTTCGTAAACATAAACTGCTGCACGAAGCAAAGACGCTGCACGAAGCAAATACGCTGCACGAAGCAAAGACGCTGCACGAAGCAAAGACGCTGCACGAAACAAATACGCTGCACGAAGCAAAGACGCTGCACGAAGCAAAGACGCTGCACGAAGCAAAGACGCTGCATGAAGCAAAGACACTGCACAAAGCAAAGACACTGCACGAAGCAAAGACACTGCACGAAGCAAAGACACTGCACGAAGCAAAGACACTGCACAAAGCAAAGACACTGCACAAAACAAAGACACTGCACAAAACAAAGACACTGCACAAAACAAAGACTGCACAAAACAAAGACACTGCACAAAACAAAGACACTGCACAAAACAAAGACACTGCACCACCAAAAGTGAACTGGCTGGGGATAAAAGGGTTAATACAAAATAAATGAAAACATCCTAAACTAAGTGAGCCACAGTAAAACTAACTAGGCGAGCTGGTGATTAGCAATAAAAGAATTTAACTCTGAAAGAGAGAAGGTAAAAAAGCTGAAAGAAAAAGGCCAAGCTCTAAAAACTACCAACAGTAAAAACTAAATACCCTGAAAACCTGTAAAAGAGGGAAAAACAGTAAAACACAAATCAAAACACCAAAAGTAAAAGAAGTGGCTCACCAACGACTACTTACAAGCATGCATGACATAAAAATTAATGCTGGACGTCTCAACATCAGAAAGTGATTATTCAAGAGCGTTAACTCATTCACTGGATCTCACCGCAAAAGCCACCAAAACCCACCCGTTGTAGTGTGATCCGTCTAACCCAAGGGTCCCGTCCCAGTTCATTAAGGCACTCTTAAATTCTGCCCTCCCTTGATGCTGGCGGGGGATACAGGCGCAAATAGACCTGGTTAACCCCTGTCAACTCAGTCCCCTTAAGTGGTAGAGTGGGGGGGAGACTGAATCATGAATAGGGGTGTTCCAGTGTGAAAACCACTTTCTGACGTTCAGCCTAACCATATGATAAAATACATACTAAAAAGTAATCTAAGAAAAAAATACAAAAGTAAAAGAATGTGCTAAAGGCACCTAAAATTACTGACTGTCGTATGCAAAAATTAAAAGAAAAGACTTCCAGAGTGGAGAGCCTGGCTGAAGGCCTTACCATAAAATAAAGACAAAACCAGCAAGTCTGGCGTCAGAGCTGAAGGCTTTTTAAAACCCCTTAAACCTAAAAGAAAAAAAAATACAACAGTATAAAACCCGAGTCTGGTGACAACGAAACAGGAAAACTAAAACTAAAAGATCACTCAGACTTCCTACTTTGAAAAGTTAAAAGTTACAAATAAAACAAAGAGAAACAGACCAGCCAAATTCATTTTAAAACAAATAAATAAATAAAGGATGTTCAAATCATTCAATAAAAATGTTCTTAAGATCACGTCCAGCTCCTATGTAAGAATATCAGGATCTCAGTACTTAACTTGTTATCTTCCGTGATCGTCTCTTGTGTTCAGTTTAATAAATATGGCGACACTGCCGGTGGTTCAAAGCTTCGGAGGATAGCAAAACACTCGTTGACGTCTCGACTCGTACTGTTTATTGTTTCTCAATGCCCCAGTGACGTCAGAGGCCAATAATTTTTACAAAATATATTCTCATTATAAATAAACTAAAACCGTGCATAAAAATGAGGAAAAATAAAACTAAAAGTATAATAATAGAAATTGCGAGAAAAAGAAAGACAAATACTAAAAAGAACGAATAAATACTGTACGTAAAAATGCTTCCCCTACAACTTAAAATGAAAACTAAATAAAAACGAGACCTTAAAACTTTACTGAATGTTAAAAAAACTAAAATGAATAAAAGCTAAAGATAAAAGGGTCATAAAAAATGTCTCGTTGCTCGTTGCGGGACAATTTCCTTTGTGAACACATAGGAAAATGATGTGCCAGACAACTAAGACGAAGGATGTGCTGACTGGGGACGCTGGGGCGAAGACCTAGGCTGGAACTGCTGTGGCAGGGATGTGTGTGGGTCATACGTGTGTCGACGTTCAAGATACAGCTGCTGCTCTGGTATTGGAATGTGGGGGCGGCTCCGAGGAAGAGGCTGAGGAGGAGAGCGGCTTCCATTAATGACAGGAGGCTGCTGATGGTGGTCTTGACACTTAGTCATGGTATGTTGTACTGAGGGGGCGAGACGGCGGACCTCTGCTAGCTCCTGGTCCCGCTGCTGAAGTTGACGACGAAGCTCTTGAATCTCTTGATCTTGGGCACATTCCATGGGTGTAGGTGCAACACCTGATCCCTGTAGTCGTTGGCGGGCCTCAGTCAGCTCCCTGTTCCGATCCTCTAGCTGGCGGCGGAGCTCCTGAATTTCCTGTTCTCGGGTATGTACCACAGGCACGTTCATCCGCAGTAGTTGAAGGCGGGTCTCCTCCAGCTCCCTGGTCCGTTCCTCCAGCTGGCGACGGAGTTGCCGAATTGGATCCTCCTGGTCTAGTTCTCTCTCCTGTGGCTGATGGAGGTTACTGTCAGCTGGCTGTTCTTGATCTAGAGTGCCTTCCTGCATGCGATGTTCAAGGGCCTCTTCATGGCGCTGTAGTCGGGCATCATTCTGCTCCTTGTACTCCCGTACTTCTGCGACTAGAGAGTTGATCTTCTCCATGATTTGGTCAAACATGGTTACTTCTGTGACCATCATCTGGACAGCCTCGCGTACGACCGAGTTAGAACCACCTGGTATGCGGCGTGGTGTTGGGGAGACTTCACAGGATGTCGGCTGGCTGCTCATCTGGATGTTTCGACGCTGCTGGAGTCTCTGGTATCGCTCCTGCCTCTCCCTGCTGTTCGGCATGCCAGGAACGCAGCAACCAAATACTTATAGCTCTCCACGTACAAATACAAAATAATGCTGGCGGCAAACAGAACCAACCCACAACTGACAATCCACAGGATCACAAAGAAACCAGAGTTCGTAAACATAAACTGCTGCACGAAGCAAAGACGCTGCACGAAGCAAATACGCTGCACGAAGCAAAGAACGCTGCACGAAGCAAAGACGCTGCACGAAAAAAATACTGCACGAAGCAAAGACGCTGCACGAAGCAAAGACGCTGCACGAAGCAAAGACGCTGCATGAAGCAAGACACTGCACAAAGCAAAGACACTGCACGAAGCAAGACACTGCACGAAGCAAAGACAACTGCACGAAGCAAAGACACTGCAAAAGCAAAAGACACTGCACAAAACAAAGACACTGCACAAAGCAAAGACGCTGCACAAAACAAAGACACTGCACAAAACAACACTGCACACACTGCACAAAACAAACACTGCACAAAACAAAGACACTGCACAAAACAAAGACACTGCACAAAACAAAGACACTGCACAAAACAAAGACACTGCACCACCAAAAGTGAACTGGCTGGGGATAAAAGGGTTAATACAAAATAAATGAAAACATCCTAAACTAAGTGAGCCACAGTAAAACTAACTAGGCGAGCTGGTGATTAGCAATAAAAGAATTTAACTCTGAAAGAGAGAAGGTAAAAAAGCTGAAAGAAAAAGGCCAAGCTCTAAAAACTACCAACAGTAAAAACTAAATACCCTGAAAACCTGTAAAAGAGGGAAAAACAGTAAAACACAAATCAAAACACCAAAAGTAAAAGAAGTGGCTCACCAACGACTACTTACAAGCATGCATGACATAAAAATTAATGCTGGACGTCTCAACATCAGATGTAGGGGTTATCATGATCTTTCCCCTAGTTTGCGGGGCCGTAGGAGCCAACGAGACCTAAGCCTCCGGCCTCCTGTTTCGGCACAGAGTAATTATCATGCTCTCGTGGTGTGATGTCGATACTGGTAGCGTGTTTTCACTGACAGTTTCGACCAAAGCATATATCATAGAAAAATAGATAATTAATTTAAAAGTCCGTGTAACTGATAAAACGTAACATTAAAAATCAAAGCAAATGAAACTCATGACTAATTAAAACAAAGTTAAAAAAAAATTCAATGAATCAGTAAACTACGTTACGCTCCACATCCACAGGAAGTTATTTATTTCAAAGTTATCTTTAAAATCAAGCCATTAAAATGTCTGTTATCATTTCCTTTATATATCCCATTCTTTAGTAAACTGTAAGTAATAAATATGAATCATAAATGGTAAACGAAACAAAAGGCAAAACTCAAACTATTATTATTAAAAGCACAAAAACGTTAACACATAAAACATAAAATAAGCAAAACCTCCGAAACAATAAAAGCAAAGGAAATGTACGTAAAAATGGGGCAATCTAAAATAAAACTGATAAAACAATACCTGTTACAACTGCAGACTCACTGTAAGATCCATTGGTTAAAAGCGTAAAACAGAGAAAACACAAATAAAAAGAACAAAGCTTAAAAAAAAACGACGGTTATCTGAAGGATAACCCAGCCGTAGCTTAATGACTCGATGCCTGTGCGCAACTCAACTCAGGTGGTTGACCCCACCTTATTTATGGTAACAAGGTCGTGCGCCAGGAGATGTTCGCGCATCAAGACTCATTTTACTGTTAAATGTCGTCTGCTTTAAAGAATAAATACCTAAAAATGCGAATTTACTAAAGATTGCCGTGTTAAATTAAAAATAAAAGGAGGTTCTTTACAAAGAAATACATATAAAATAACAGTAATATAAAAAGAAAGGAACATATATACAGGAATTTAAACAAGCGATAAAATGGTTTTCCGTGGGCTAGCTGAAGGGGTTTGGCGCCAAATGCCCGTTGATGATTTTCTTCAACCTCTTGTCCGTCGCCATCTTGGGCGCCATCTTGCCAAATCCGTATTTTCGAGGGCGACCTCCCGACGTCATCCTTCACAGGCCTCGAGCAGGAAATCGGGGCGTCGTCGGCTCGTAATACTGGCCATCTCTCCTCGTAATTTGGAAGAAATGCCCAGGGCGTCGCCATCGTCCTCCTACAGCGCCTCCGTCAGGTGCACCCTTCTGCAGTGCCTCCGTCATCGCCTCCGTCGGGATCCTCACGCCCTGGTCCAAAATGCGATTTCTTTTCTCGGGGCTTCTTAGGGGGGGTTCCGGTGATGCTGAGCGGGGTGTGGGTCGTCAGAAGAGGCAGTAAGAGCGGCAGCTCACTACAACCCCTCCCCCACCTAGCAGAGCGAAGTCCACGGCGTCTCATATGGCTGGTCCTCGTAGTCCAACTGCCCCTACTAGCGAGATCTGCTCACATCCTCTGTTGGGGTGTTCTAGGGCGCCTCGGTAGATCACAGGGACATCGTGAGACGACGTTGACGAAGCTCCCCTGACCTTCCTCTCCACGGTAGTGGTCGCGACATCCTCCCGACAGTCCTGACATCAACCTTGCTGCCTCGAGACGGTTGCTCTGTCAATACAGTGGTCTCCACTGACGGGTGATAACTCCATCTCAACGTTCATCACAGGTACTGCAGCACCCTCATCTTAAGCTCTCGACATCTATCATCAAGCTTCATCAGGAGTCTCCCACAGGATTCACAATCCAGGACAGGGTGTGGTTACATGCTCATACGTCTGGAAAGAGTGAAATCCCCTCCCAACCCCATTGGAGTTGCGCAGGCTCAATTAGACAAAATAAAATGAATAGAAATTCAGTGGCTGCTTACAAAGCAGGATATTGTCCATCTGTTTTATCAAGATTGCCCGAGGAGGTAAAATGGCTTGGCTTTAGACATAACTAGCACGGATTAATATCGATTAAACACATGAAACTAAGGTAACTTAAAACAGAACAGTCTTAAAATTAAAACATATGAACAAAAAGGGTACATTAGATACAGGATGCAAGTAGCATCACTCCTGGTTCAGCATCATCATCCAAAAGTGGATCAACATACTCAGGACCATATTCATCATACAAGTCTGGGTAAGTGATCTCGCCCAAGACTTTAAAGGGTTTTATATCATTTATGTGATACTGCCTTTCGTTAAAAGGGTGGTAAAGGTCTTTCAGCAAAAAGGTGACAGGACCGATTTCTTTATGATGCGTGCAGGCCTGACCAGCGCGGATTTTGCAGCTTGTCTACACCAGTCTTACGGACTCGATTCTTATACAAGACAAGATCTCCTTTCACCTAATGCTTTTGGGTTAGCTGAGCGCTTATCATAGTCTCGTGTCCATTGTTCCCTGCAGTTCTTGTAGTCTCGAGAGCTACCTTTCGAGCTATATTAAGAGCATTATAAAGGCTTTAGATGACTCTGAATTGTAGACGATCATTTGTAAGTCCAACAGGAAAATGACCGTGATGGCCTGTCATCAAATACAGAGGTTGGTCTCCGGTACAACGGTGAATGGCGCTGTTAAGAGCCAGCCTCACCTGAGGGATAAGTTGCTCCCATCGAGTAGGTGTTGTGTTTGCTAGGGATGCAATTGCATCCTTCACTACCCTGTTCGTTCTTTCTATCATCCCATTGGCCTGGGGATGATAAGCGGTTGTAAGAGTCGTCTTTATCTGCAGTAGACGACAACATTCCTTAAATAGCCGATTATTAAATTCAGATCCCCATCAGTTTGTAAGGCGAGGAGGACCGAATATCGTAACGAACTCTTGGAACATGGCATCAGCTACAGAGTCAGCATGCTTGGTTTTCAGTGGAACAATCTGGACGTACCGAGTCAAATGGTCAATGATGGTCAGACAGTAACGATAACCAGCCTCAGATCTCCCTAGCTCAATCAAGTCTGCACTCACTTTTTCGAGAGGAACTGAGACGTCTGGCGGCTTTGCAAGAGGAGCCTTCCTGGGGCTTCCTTTACGTCGTTGACAGTCCTCACATGCCGCAACATACTCCTTCACATCACGGAGCATGTTCGGGAAATAAAACATGTCCTTGAGCTTGACAAAGGTTCTAAAAACTCCAGGATGAGCGGCAATTGGAGAGGAGTGGGCTAGCTTTAATGCACTCCTTCGAAGTTGTCGAGGAACCACAAGTTGGCTCACAATTCGATCAGGTAAGGTTCTTACATGGTACAAAACACCATTTTGGAGATCGAATTCTTCTAGTGGGCGTGGAGGTTTTCTGTTAGGAACTGCTTTCTCTTCCAGATAAGCAATAATTTCGTGCCACATCGGATCCTTCAGCTGTTCTGACCTCATGGTCTTTGGGTCTGGATCTGCTATACTCACAGCTGAAATATTTCGGCTTAGCATATCTGGAATGTGGTGTGAGGTGCCAGGTTTGTATAGAATGTTAAATGAATAACCAGACAGTTCATATGCCCACCTAGACATCCTTGGAGACTTTGTTTTCTTTGTGAAAACGTACACAAGCGGTCGATGGTCAGTGTACACCGTAAATCTGCGACCATACACATAAGGATCAAATGTTCGAACGCTCTCAACAACGGCAAGAGCCTCAGCATCAGTAGCAGAATATCGAGTCTCTGGTCCTCTCAGTTTACGACTGTAGTAAGCTATTGCATGGGGCTTGTTCTCGCTGTCTCTCTGCATTAATGCAGCACCAATTGCAACTTGTGATGCGTCCGTGTATCTCAAACGGGAGATCAAAGTTAGGCTTGCGTAAAATTGGAGCATTCATCAAAGCATCCTTCAAAGACTGAAATGCTTTCTGGCACTCATCTGTCCATCTGAATCTATGATCTTTCTTGATGAGTTGGGTCAAGGGTGCAGCTACTTTAGCATAATCTGGAACATGCCTCCGAAAGAATCCTGTAGCTCCTAAGAATCTTCTCACCCCCCTGACTGTCTTTGGGGCTGCATCTCCGCAATTGCTCGAACTTTGTCAGGATCAGGGAGAATGCCTTCAGGAGTGACTCTGAATCCTAAGAACCTGAAGTTCTGCAC